TTCAAGGAATTATTTCGTTACTTTTTAGTGTACTGTTTTTTTTGAGAATATTTTGTTTTTGGTGTATTTTGTTTTGTTTTTAGTACATTTTATTTTGTTTTTCGTATATTTTGTTTGGAAGTCGGTTTTGTTTTTACAATTTTATTCGCAGTACATAGATTAAAAATGTCATGGCAAAAAGCCTTGACTATTAACCTAAAAATTAATTTGACCATTTTCCGTAAAAAAAAACAAATGTCAAAACTGTAAGAATTGGTTGGTTTTGCGTGCGGATTCTGCGAAATATTTTCTATTATTTTTGTAACTGACTCTAATATACTAAGTGCTTAAAAGGCGATACAGTTTCCAAAGCAAATTTAGTGCGAGAGGAGATTTAAAAGTGAGTTTAGCATTGGGTAATACTTGTTAAAACTTTAATTATTTTTGTTGTACATCGATACTGCTGAGTAATTTTGTGAACGATCTTATAGTTGCTTTATCCCGCTGTTGTCACGATGCCAAGTATATTGCGTTGCTGGATTTTGCAGCACGACCTCGTATGATATTCAACACATACATATTCTGAACATATCATCCATTATATCTCCAGAAGTCGGCGTCTTAAAACCAAAACACATACTCCACTTGACGTTCAGATCTAGGACTTGGTACATGGTATTCCCAATTAACTGTGTATATTTACTACTTTTCGGAGCTAAGTTTCTCATCAATTTCAATGTCTATGAAAGTTTTCTCAATGTTTACAACACAAATGCATAAATAATGAATGACCTATTTTGTTATTGTTTACGACATACAATCGGAATTTCTTGTAATATTTAACAGTTTATAACCAACTGTAATTGGAACACAAAAGTCCATTTATCTTTTGTTACTTTGAATAAATAACAAAGAAAACACCAAAGTACTTCTTTTAAAAATAAGGGCAAAATGAAATTATTAAGACACTTGTTTATTTTAGGCACATGAACTTTCAATGATGTCCCTAAAACCGAGAAATGTGGACTTCCAGGACACTTGGGCAAGCCTTAAAGAGACGGTATGTATTTTATAACACTCTGATGGCATGTGGCCTGTTATTATGATGCTAAGCAAATCCCAATTACTATAAATGTTTGTAGTAGAAATTCTCAAATTTAAATAAAATTAAAAATGACAACTTAATCAAAAAGTTATATTAGCTATGTTATACAACTTAGTTACACTAATAGCTGCTGTTGACCTTTGAATGACCTTTTTCTAATAAATTTTAACCATAGATATAGGTCTTTCCAAAAACCTTGGGTCCCAAGGACATTGGCATGCTGTGTATTGCCCTCCCCTCTCATTCTGCTACACTTGAAATTGTGATCTATGCAATGAATTGTGCAAAGTCAAGAGCTGCCAAGATATCTTCCAACTTTGTCTATACTTTTAGGTGGCAGGAGTTGTAGCACTCCGGGCAGTAGAGCGTGCTGTCTGGAATATGCGTTTCTCAGATGTATATGCACTATGTGTGGCACATCCGGAGCCTCTTGCTGACCGGCTATATGATGAAACCAGGTATGATTTAAATACAAAAGTATACTGACAAGCTTATATTTTTAAAAGCTAAAATCAAGATGTAGTTATAGGAAACTGGTTGATAGTTTATGTTTGGAAACCAGTTACTGAAGTTAACAACCAGTTTTTGAATTTAATTTTGAGAATCTGACTACCATAATTAACTATCTGTTTTAGAAATTTCTTAGAAGAGCATGTCGGAGAACTTTTAAAAAGAGTCCAAGGGAATTCACCACTTGAAAGTAGTGATTACAATGATGGTCTGCTTACAAGGTATGTATTTTAAAACACAGTTTTTTATTTGGTTTTTTGATATCATAAGGTGACAAATGAGAAAAAGGCCACCAGGATTCGCTGAAATAGTGCTGCAATGTTCCATAGACATCTGCAAATGCAGATGTGTCACCTATCTTTAAACACATGATGGGACACCCAGAATCAGGATTTTGCCCCTTCCCATTCCGTCCCCTACCTATTCCGTCACCTATCAGACCCACTTTTCCTACCTATCCTTTGTACCAAAAAAGGACCAGGCCTCCTGCACGCTATATAGACATAAAATATTTCCAGGTATGTTGCGGCATGGAGGGAGTACAGTCAGGGTGTATCATATCTCAATAGTCTATATTCATATCTCAATCTGCAGCATGTGAAGAAACAGAAGGTAATTTACAAATATTTAATTTGTGAGTTGCTTATAAATTTTGTCTTGATTCTAAACAGTGTAGTTTCATATTATTTTACTTTACTTTAATATAGATTAGATTTCATGTAATAAATCCTACGCTATGTTGTAAACATTAAAATACTTTCTTTATATTTATTTCCTCGTCTTTAATATTCTTTCGGTTCTTTTTAGACACACATATTTTTCTAAAGTGACAGTTGCCTTCTTTACATTTTGACATACTTATATTACAGCCGCTTATATATTGCAGCTAGTGTATATTTGTTATAATTAAACCTTGTTATAAATCCACAACACTATGTTATTCCAGGTTTCTGATGCCGAAATAATATATGGTTCATCAGCGACTGTTAGTTGTCCGGAGCATGATTCTAGGCAGTTGGAGGTAAACACATTTAATTCACATTTTGAATATATTATAAATTTCATTGATTGATTGAAAAATTTATCCGAAAACAGAATCTTATTGTTTAAAATACATTTTAGTACTTAAATTCAAGGTAATAAGACCAATAACCGATATTAAGGATATATATGAAGGTAACTAACCCAGTAGTGGATACTTAATATTAGCTTGAAATTCTACCAAAACGAAATGTCTGTATATTGCGATTGAGTAAACAAGATTTGCGTTGCTTATAAAATCCATTTTTTTTACATTTTTGTCCGTCCACAATGGATGGACCAGCTTTGAAGGTAGCAAATGTATACAACCCGCAGTGCAGCGGTTGACTATGGCCTAGTCACTGCTGATGTTGTGACGTGTTGGTGGTGCAGGTGGGGGAGCTGGGGCTGGTGACGTGGGAGCGCATCCTGGTGCAGGCGCTGGCGGCGGGGCTGACGGCGCGCGTGGTGTCCGCGCTAAGCGCCGCGCGTGACGGCCAGCTGGAGCCCGCCATGGCCGACGTGCTGCACGCCGCCATACACAGCGCGGTGCATGCGCAGGTCAGAGACCTTGTATTTATATCTATACTGATATTATGAAGAGAAATTGGATTTTATGTTGCAAAATAACTCAAAAACTATTGGACCTATTCCAAAACTTCTTTCACCATAAAAAGCTACGTTATCTGTGAGTAACATAGACTATTTATTTTTAGTTTTTTCGCGGGCATAGTCGTGACAACTAGTCTATACTAATGTAATATAACGTAAACACACACTTTGTTATGTAGGATCAGCATTTATAAAACATTTTAGAATTATCATATTTTTTATGAAAAGCCCTACACTTGTGATACGCTAAAGCGTATAGGCTATAGGCTATATATTTTTACGCTACTTAGAGGATGAAAAAATTGGAAAAATCGTTATATGGTAAAGGACAAAAACTACAAACCAATAGCAAAGAAGCAACATTGCCATGGTAATTGATATCCAAATAGCAAAGACCTTCGTTGTATAGCTTTATAAAGTGTGTCTTTACCTCCTCTAATTTTATAATAGAAAATTGAACGGTTTAATCAAATTTAGGTAACCTCCCCAGTTGTTGACACGTGATTGTCCGCAGGCTCACCGCGTGCGCGCGCCGCTGCAGCTGTACCAGCAGCTGGTGCTGGAGCCCTACCTGGCGGCGGCGGCCACGCACCACGCGCGCCGCGCCGCCAGCCTGCTGCAGGACGGAGATATATCGCACTACATGAAGTATACACTTGAAGGTACCTCCATTTACGTTTTTGATCTAAAGAAATAAACAAAATGAGTATATTTTTAGAATGTAATTTCTGCGATTTTCGTTCCAAAAATTTCCAATAAGTTCAATCTCCTGAAGCTTTTTCTTATAATTTAAAAAAGTATAAAGTATACTAGCTTTCTAATGGCACAGGAGTTTTTCAAGTCGATCCAGTAGTTTTTTGACAAATTGAATACATATCAATCCAATTACCAATAGTATAAATGCGAAATTTACATTAGTGTTTAGACTTTGTAGTGTTGACAACTGAACGGATCTCGATGAAATTTGGTATAGTTGTAAAGCCTTGTCTGGACAAACACATAGAATATACTTTTGTTTTTTTTTTTTTTTATATTGTTCGGACGGAGTCACGGACAAAAGTTAGTAGTAATATAGATTTGATAATGAAAGTTTGACTACATAGGTTTGGAGCGTGAAATAATGCTGGCGTGCCGCTACCTGCACTCGTCGTCGCGCGAGGCGGTGCGCGCGTGCTACGAGCGCGCCGCCGTGGCCGCGCACCTGCCCGCGCTGCACGCGCACACCGAGCGCCTGCTGCGCGAGGCCTGCGCGGACACGCCGCAGGCGCTGCAGGTACACGCATCTAACATTACCTTAAATGTACAGGACAGCCATTTCAAGTTTTGTATATGTACATAGGCGCATAACGTGTGCGCGTTAAAGAAGGGTTCCGCGCCAGCTGTCAGTGTGACACGGATGTCAATAAACCAGTCTGCACTAAGCTAGCGGTCGTATCATTGTTCCCTATATACAACATAAAGTTTTCATTTAAAAAAAAAATCACACCTAAATTTTGATTGTTTCAAACGCCACAAAAGTGCGGTGATCTTTATGAAACCCGATGCAAACGATGTAGAGAAATTTGCTGATTCTGAATATATATGTATAATATCGCCTAAAATGGCATCTGAAACAAATAGCTTTTCACCCGTCGATATGGTACTGGTGTCAATAACCGGGGCTTTTACCTTAATTTGATCATTCGTAGAATAGTACTAGCATGGACGTCACCAGATGTCACTCCCTCGTCACTCCCACTACCAGATACTCTTACATCTAAAATAGATATAAAAACTACTATGTATTTGACCATTTACATGTTTACCCCCCCCCCCACTCCACAATCTTAAACCTAGCCAGAACATACGGTAGCGATGCACATGGATAGTAAATCGAGTCGACTCACATGAAAATAAAAATGTCCTTTATTTCTTTTTAACTATGTTGTTACTTAAAAAAATAAAACACTTGAAATTGGAAATAAACATTACAATTAATTACAGTATTTAAATAGTCTTGTCCGGCATTAGCGGAAATTAAACGTAGTGTTGCCAAGTGAGAATGATTCTCATTAATCATCGTCATTTGGGTTGTGTTTCCAATAAATTAACCTACGATGTTTTTGTACTTTTTGTAAGCCTTCCCAAAAGGAGGTTTTCAATTTGTTTGTTTTTTTTTTAATTTCTCCTCCTCCGTAATAAAGTCCGTCCCTTTTATGTATTAATGTTTGCAGCGCCGTGAGGACCTGAAGCGTATGTACACGCTGCTGAAGCCGATGAGCGGGCAGGGCGCGCTGCGGCCGCTGGTGGACGCGGCGCACGCGCAGACCGCCCGCGACGGACTGCTGCTGCTAGCCAGTGAACATAGCAAGGATGAGGTAACCACTAGATGGCAGCACATACTTGTAGGTGTAATGCGAGGTCTACACTTCGCTGCTACAGTTGATCAGTAGCGCTCTGATTGGACCGTTTTGGCGTGACAATGCATTAGCGTTGCTTGCCGACGTAACTGTCCAACTGTATTGGCGAAATGTGAACCGAGCAGAATATTATCTCAGTATGTTACTTTTATGGAAGACGAGCTGTTGCCCGCGAATTCGTACGCGTGGTATTAGAAAACATACAAACTATAAAAAATTACAAAAAGCTGCGTATCCCTCGGGAACCGTTCATTTCTCGGGAATGAAGCTTATCCCATGTGTACTCCAGACTTTGTTTTATATCTGTGCCAAATTTCAATAAGATATGTTGAACCGTTGCAGAATGATCGAGTAAACATTAAATAACTAAATTAATGAATCCCACGGGAACCGTAACTATTCCAGGGACAAAAAGTAGCCTATGTGTTCTTCCAGACTATGCTCTAAACCTGTGCCAAATTTCATAGAGATCCGTTCAGCCGTTTAGCCTACAAACGCTAACAAACATCCATCCATCCATCCATCTAAACTTTCGCATTTATAATATTAGTAAGATTACTTCGCCATTTCGTTTGTTTATGACGTAAAAAAAATACTATTTAAATTTTGCTACGACTCTGTCCGTGCGGAATCAAAAATACTATGTAATAGAGTTTTTTTTTTGTACATTGTTCAACGACCGCCAAATTTTGTCAAAATCTGATAAGCTGTTTGAGTTACACAGACAAAACATTTATTCAAATTTCTGCATTTATGGTATTTTTAAGAAGTTAAATAAATGCGAAAGTATAGATGGATCGATGGATATTTGTTGAATCTTGAAATACTAAACGGATCTCTATAAAATTTGTCACAGGAAAAAACATAGTCTGGAAGAACTCTAGTATATTAATAAGTTTGTTTTTAATTCAGCATGAACACAGCAGTTATGTTATGTTTATATAACAGGCGCACACACACTTCGTGAACGCGATGCTGTCGCTACACAAGAAGTACAGCAAACTGTTCAACGAGGTGTTCGGAGGCGCGCAGGCATTCGTCGGCGCATTAGATAAAGTAAGTTAAAACACTAAAAATAACACTTCAATTCGTTTTCTATATTTATATTCATATTCTACTAGCTGTTGCTCGCGACTTCGCCCGCGTGAAATAAAAAAAATATAGCCTATGCTCCTCACAGAGAAATTATCTTTCTAACAGTAAAACAATTTTTAAAATCGGCCTGTTTTTGAGTTATTTCAATGCATACAAAAATAGAAATATTTCCTCTTTACAATATTAGTATAGATTTATATTCTTATACTTATAAAGCGTAAAAACACATATCTTTGTTATAAAGTATGTCAGAAACCATAGTATATTTTTAATAGTTCTTTCTTTCATAAAAAGCGCTGCACTTACGACACGCTATAGGATAAATATTTTCATGCTATCAAACGTAGGGGGTAAATAAATTGGTACAACGTCATGCGGGAAAGGGACAAAAACTGCAAGCCAATAGCAACAGAGAAACAATAGGCATCTAACCGAAAAATTTGAATTTTGATTTACAATGAAATGTAAATAATAAGATATACTTTTTATAATGACATATGGATGACGTCACTGGGGACTGTTTTTAATAAGGTGAGATTGAAATGAGTTGACGTTTCTTATTTCATGTTTCAGGCATGCAGTGCTGTTGTAAACGCTCGGGAGCCAGGAGAGACCTCAGCGAGGGCACCAGAACTCCTAGCTCGGTACTGCGACGCGTTACTACGGAGGAGAGGCGCGGACGCTGAGGCTGATGATAAACTGGCAGCAGCTATCATAGTCTTCAAATATGTAGATGATAAAGATGTCTTCCAGAAACACTACGCGAGAGCATTAGCAAGAAGACTCATACACCAACTATCAGCTTCAATGGAACAAGAGGAAGCGATGATTAACCGCCTCAAAGCAGCCTGCGGATACGAGTTTACGAATAAATTGCACAGAATGTTCACAGATGTCGCTGTGTCTGCGGATCTTAATGCGAAATTCCAACAACATTTAAGAGATAATAATCTATCTTTGAATACAGGATTCTTTATACAGGTTAGCCTCTAGCTTATTGGGTAATTTAACTCGCATGAGTCAAGTAGATCAGTGGTCCACAGATAATATCAATTTGTACTTTATAGAGCTCCCTTAGTCACACTAGCTTTTAATCGAACTTTCGTCTATGCAGAATTAAAAAAAATGTTCCTATATGTTCTAGACTCCTCTACATCTATGCCAAATTTTATCAATATTCGTTCAGGAGATAAATTCTAACAACCATCCATCTACACATTCGCATATCTAATATTAGTAAGATCTTCCCGCTGCTAGTTTGCTCTACTACTGGAAGAAAAATATTTATTTATTTATTTATTCATTAAATACATGAAATAATTATTTCATTTTATCAAACATTTACAAGAACACCCACATGTACACACATGTATACACATTCACTGAATAACAGTTCGTCGATTTTTAGATATGTTTATTATGTAGACGTAGATATGAGATGTTTTATGTAAGGTGTGGTGCAGGTGCTGCAGGCGGGGGCGTGGCCGCTGGGCGGGGCGATGGCGCCGCTGGCCCCGCCCGCGCAGCTGGAGCGGCCGGCGCGCCTGTTCGAGGCGTTCTACCGCGGCTCCTTCAGCGGCCGCCGCCTCGCCTGGCTGCACCACCTCTGCACCGGCGAGCTGCGCACGCGCTACACGCAGCGCGTCTACCACATCAGCGCCACCACGCCACAGGTATACATTATAACACATAAACAGTGTCTTATAATATTTTATTTTATTTAGTGATTTTCAAATTGCTCCTAGTGGATACCCTGGGATTCACAGATGAATGATCGAATGTGGCTATTATTGCTGGAAATATTTGATGGTCCACGAGTTGGAAAAGGTTCCGCAATATTTTTTTTTGATTTCGAACACTTCGCAAACCCTCGCTCGTATGTAAATTACGACAATTCAATAAATTAAAAAAAAAATGGGTTCACTAAAATGAGTCAAATTTTAAAGGGATTTAGGAGGAAAATACTTTGGGAACCTTTGATTTATAAACTTTAGATTACTGTTTGCACACCCTTGCAAACTTCAGTAAACTGTAAAACGCATTATTCCTTCATTTAAAAATTTTCCTTGTTTCTTCTCTTTATCTTAGCAATAATTGTGAATATTTTGTGTAGTGCGCACTACTGCTGATGTTCGAGAGCGTGGACAGCGTGAGTGTGCGCGAGGCGCGCGACACGCTGCAGCTGAGCGGCGAGGCGTGGACGCGGCACGTGCGGCCCCTGCTCGACATCGGGCTGCTCGCCGCGCGCGGGAACGTGCCCTCCCTCGCCCCACCCGCCCCCGCCACCGCCCCCGCACCCGCACCCGGGGCGGAGTCCCCCGGCGCGGGGGAGGAGGACGACGCGGACGCGGAGCTGCTCCTCAACCTCTCCTTCACCTCCAAGCGCACCAAGCTGCGGCTGACGTGCGGCGCCGCGACCACACACTCCGGTACGTTGATAACTACGCACATGTCGATGGATGATGTAGACTGTTTGCTATTTATATCTTGTTTTATGTTTAATTCAGAGACTAAAAAATATATAGAGGAGTCATAATCTCACTAACTTTATTTATTTATAGATCTTCAAAACGAGGTCAATATTTGACTTTCTTTTTATATAAATAAGATTATTTTTTATCTTTTTTTAACGATTCTACTTATAATAAAGTATTGACGTGAAACTATTGTAATAAAAAAACTATGAATTTTCATGCTACTAAAACGTGGCTGGAGTTGGCCGGAGACTTGTGATGTCATATTTTCACATATCCGCTTACATGTCGCCTCGGTGTAAATGACAAAGTATTTCATTGGTTCACATAGGTTTTAAATGTCAAAAAGCGCTTAAAGCTACCTATTATTTTAGAAAACCATAAAAAAATTGAATAATATATGTGTGCAGGAGGCAGCAGCAGCAGCGGGTCCGGCGGCGGCGGGGAGCCGGCGCACTGCGAGGACGACCGCAAGATGTACCTGCAGGCCGCGCTCGTGCGCATCATGAAGCAGAGGAAGGTCAGTCACTGCAGCACATTGCTGAAAAAATAAAAAAAAATAGCTACATACAACATTTGCATATAACTATTACTCACGTCTATTTCTTTGGTGACATCACCGAAAATGCCCTAAAATAATTAGTTAAATGTCTCAAGAAAGTTCAAAATTTAACATTTGCATAGTAAAAATTTTCATAAATCTATACTAAAGGATAGTCTAAGCAAATAATAATCAACTGTGTGCGTAAGAAAGTCAAACTTCCAATCACATAGGTTTTTGGGGAAATAAAATAAAATATTTTATCGATACTAATGTTATAAAGGGAAAAAATGTTTTTTTCGATTTTTGTATGTATTGATATAACTCAAATATTGGGACAATTTCAAAAATTCTTTCACTATTAAAAAGTTTTGTTATTGGTGCGCATCATAGGCTATATTTTTAATACTTTTTGACCGACTTACCAAAAAATAAGGTACTCCATTCGTCTGTATATATTTTTTTACTTTTCTAGTATTGACACTTTAATTTATGAGTGTAACTTCTCACAAAGATACTTTCTTCAGGTTTTGCGACACACGGAATTAATTCAAGAAGTGGTGGCGCAGGCGCGGGGCTCGTTCGCGCCATCTGTCGCCATGATCAAGAAGTGCATAGAGTCACTCATAGACAAGCAGTACTTAGAGCGAGCGCCCGGCACTCTCGACACATACGCCTATCTCGCGTAGAACCACGCCCACCGCCGCGAGACACGCCCCCACCCCCCGCTGGGGGCAGCTACAGCTAAAACAATATAAATAATGAATAATTATTTAAAAAATCTACGGAATTCGGGTTACCATGGCAACGGAGCTAGAATTTTGTACAGAAATTCCTCTTAGATTAACAACGATCGTTTCTTCCTCCTAAAGTCATAGTTTTTATTAATGTTTTAACAATGAAATTATTTTCTCTACATTTCTAAGTTACTATAGTTTGCTGGTTTTTTTAAATTATATCTCGTTTTCTGAATTCTTGCTGTTTTTATCAGTTTTCGTATTTCTAACGCTATTAAGAAAAAATTGCTTTCGAAAATTAAATTAATGTATTCGCTCCGTACCATTTAATTGGAAATCTCATACATATGCAGCCTTAGAGATGTTTAAAATTATATTTTGTAAATCAACGTTGGTAATAAATGCAATCCGTAGTTTATAAATTATTTTATGTTTCTGATTTTCGTTTAAAAAGTACTAAGTGTGCTTGTGATAAATAGCACTAAGAGGATCCCTCTCTTTAAAACACAAGTGTAATAAAATTTACGAGAAATGCATAAAAATATTGCTAATACAACAAAAACAGAATATTTTCAGCGCAAATTGCAAGTAGATGTGTTAATTTTTTTTTGTATAGATTTTATAAACATAGATTAAAAAATCGTATGAAGCAATCACAATAAATGTATTTTAAAAACGTTTCAGTCATTTTTTTTAGTATATGATTTTTTTAACAGATTATATTCGATGCAATCTGAAATGGAATTTGTACATGATAGGTTAGTATGTAACAGAGAAAGTGCGGTCTGTAGTTAGCGGGCGCAGCATCTCAAATTATCATTATTTATCTATTGAATATTGTTTAATAAATATTGTACGGATGCCGTTTATTGTTGTTTTATTATTATGTTTAAGTTTTTTTGACCGATTTCCCAAAAGAAGGTACTCAGTTCATCTGTATGTTTTTTTATGTGTGTTACGGCATAACTCTGCTGCTAGTGGACCGATTTTTTTTTATTCGAAAGGTAGTGCTTGCAGATTTGTTTGATTTTTTTCAGTACCTTCTTATATGCAATAACTTTGGTCCGAATCTTGTAAAGGACAATTTATATTTCACTAGCTTTCGCCTGAAAATCCATCCGCTTGGAATAAAAAAAAGTGTTCCAAAAGTTCTTCCAGACTATCCTCTACATCTATACCAAATTTCATCAAAATACGTTCAGCCGTTTAGGCTACAAACTCTCAAAATCCATCTAAACTTTCGCATTTATAATATTAGTAAGACATGATTTTGTAAACCATGTTTCTAATATTTCACCATAAATTACTATTAAATGTTTGTCAAAAATTACCTAACTTTTAACCTATTCTCGTAATAGAAATTACGCTCGATTAATGCACGTTTCTATTTTAATAATGCAATTGTGTCACGGAGGTGTGATAAGTGCTAGAATATAGGTCGACGCAAAGTCGCGTCTGACCTCCGACGTTCACCATGCGGCTACTAGGCGTCATCTGTTCCATTGTAGCCCTGCTGCAGGTAAAATACACGTTTATCTGATATTTTGTTACATTCTTAATGCTGAAAAACCTTAAATGAAACTTTCAAGAGGGATTTTTTTCTGTACATAATTATCAGTCACTTTATGCCTGACCTGACAGTCTCACTTATAATTTATTGCCTTCCTTATTCTAATATTTTAACACTAAACCTATATATGGGGATTGCTTGAACAATCAAGTGGATGTAGTTAGGAAGTGAAGTGAGAATTTAGATCTTAAATTAATTTGCTTTTATTACTCCAGCAGGCAAACTCTCAGTGCCTACCGACAGCGTACTGCTTGCCGGCTCCGGCGCCTGCCCCAGTCATCATCCCAGCTGCCCCAGCCGCACCGCTCGTTCTCCCAGCCGCTCCAGCACCTACCGCTGCACTAACCGCAATCACTCCACTGCTAGCGTCCACTATCTCCGCGTCTCTAGCCACGGCATTACCGCCTCTGCTAGAAGCGGCTTTACCTGCAGTATTGTCTTCGACGCTAGCTGCTGCCGCCCCCCTGTTGGCTGCTGCCTTACCCCCTTGCGCCCCTTCACCCGTGGCCTACGCCCCTACCCCGGTTACCTGCGCCGCGCTCCCCGCCTGCCCCCTATCGCCACCGGTATTTTGCCTTTAATATGCATTTAAAAATAAACCTTTTCTGAAAATCTGTTGAGTATTAAAATTGATTTTCTTTGCTTTTCCTCGACTATTTGGTTGATTTGGTACGGGTAAATCACATTAGAGTAAATACTTTTGTAATATGTATATTTAGAAATAAAATTACGATTTAAGTAAAGTTTTGATTTTATTTTGTTGCAGGATACTGAAGAATAAATATTTTTTTCTATAAATGTATAGATTTATTTACACTTAGTTATTATATGCGACTTATCATATTTTATCGTTTAAATAATGGCTAGGAAAAGGCAAAAAATGTGGTAGAAAAGCTTGTAGCATCTTATACTTTTTAATTAGGTGAAATGTGGTGTGAACAGGTAAATAAAAGCCACAGCTGCGAGTAACAAAATATTTATTCCTTTGGTTACAGAATTTAATAATTTACTAAATTCTTAACAATTTGTTGACGGACCCGCGACCTCTCCTCTTAGTTTCTTGCAAAACAAGAGGATGGCAGCGAGCCCTCCTCCACCCGAAACTAATCTACTATAAATCTAATATCACAGTAAAAAGAAAAACTATTAAATATTTTGGTAGTTCAATTTTTGGGTGTTACCATTTTCTAATCATAAATTAATACTATCGATGAAAAACTGATAAATTAATTTTTTTTATATAACTATTGTTACTGTGGTATAAACGTTTTTCTTTTTACCGTGTGTACCTCTTAAAAGTTAAAATTGAATACAGTAAAAGATAAAATTCATAGACAATTTTTAATACCACAGTTTGAGAAGCAACATACTGAGTTGGGGTTTTTGGTAGGAAATGGTTTGAATTTTTTGTCTCAGATATTAGTTATGGCAACACACGGGGATTTAACGTTTTCTATTTCAAAATTAAACTTTTTTTTAGAAATTATTACAAACATGCGTACAAATAAAATCAATAATATTTTTGTGAAACAAAAAGGCTGACTAGATTTTTGACTATTTTAATCAATTTGATTGTATTGTATGAGATATTTGTAAATCTGAGATTCATTATTTTTTATGTATATTTAAGTGGCTATATTTAGAGTGAACATTTAATATAGGAATAATGTCTTGGCAGTGAGACTGGAATAAGAAAAATTATAATTTCTGTTTAAACACAAGTACTACCTTCAAACTGTGGCATTCCAAAGAGTAAAGAGAAAATAACATAAAAGACTATTCTAGAATTAATTTGGCCAAATTATTGCACTACCAACTAACCACTACAACTATTTAATGGCGAAATTTATGACACATTTTTTTCTTTAGTACATTCTTTGACGTTTTTTGAGCGCAACATTTTTTAATCTATGACAAGTCTATTAACATAGACAAGATAGATGTTGAAATGTTAAGACAATTTTTATAACATCTTAAATATATTACTTTGAAATTAGTAATAAAAAGAGCAATTACAAAAGCGGAAGATATTCTATGTAAAAAATACCTATTTGTAACTTAACTTTCAATTGAGAACAAATTAGGTATGAAAAGAAATGAGAAGGCTTTTAGAGTTAGAAACAAAAACCGTTATTGCATTTAAAATGAAAATCACTGGCAACATTTGATAGTAAACGTCAAATATAATGATTACAATAAAACTTTGTGCTTTATGGACGCCTACATTTTACAAAGCTATATCTTGAACCCTTTACTATATAAAAAGGCTAAGGCACTGAGCGTTGAGAGGTTCTTAAAACAAATATCGCCCCTCTCATTTCTTCTATAACCTGTTATAAGTTAGCCTGGTGGCCATCCCATCTGGCGTCCACCCAGGACGTGAAGATGGAGATGGTAGACGGATTGGGCGCCGTGGCGGCCGTTGTTTACTACAAGACGCCAGCCAGCCGGCGCCCTCGCAGCGCCCAGAGACCTCGCCACTAACATCAGATGTCCTAAGATCTGTGAAAAAAAAAGTTCTTAATGATTGCTTACTTTACAACATTTTATTATTATAGTTTAAGCATGTGCTTAGATGTACAAGATTAAAAAAAGACAAAGGCCACAACTTAGTTGACCCAAGATGTCAAAAATCTTAATTTTTCGCCTTCCGAAGGTCGTTAAAGTGCATTGTATATTCTTAAAGTTTATAATACAGGGGTATTATACAGAGAAAATATATGTGTTTTTATAACCAACAAACTGTGGCTCGCGACTTCGTCTGCGTGAAATTAAAAATAATAAGAAAAATAAATTACCTTTCTAACGTTGAAAGATTTTTTCGAATCGGTCCAGTAGTTTTTGAGTTATTTCAATACATAAAAAAATCTAAAAATACAAATCTTTCCTCTTTATTATATTAGTATAGATAAACTCTAATATTATACCTATTTCATAAAACATTTCCCCGTTAGTATATTTACTAGATTTTCTAATTCCGCGCAGACGAAAATATTAACAAAAGCTATTTAAATAAAATACATTATCAACAAAATCATCAAACATCTGTGACGTTTTCATTACAAACTGTTTACGCAGAAACAATCTACGTCAGATGGCGCGATGTTATTCAACTAATACAAACGTGTTCAATGGCATACCAAGACAATGGTTATTGCAAAATGAACTTTATTGTATAGTTGTTAAGATATAAAAATAGCGAAAAATCAAAGTATCAAGTACAGTCAATTGTAAATTTAATAGATGCAAAATTATTTTATTGTTATAGGATATAATTTTTTGACAATTATAAATACAAAAGTTTAGATGGATGGATGGATGTTTGTTAGAGTTTGTAGCCTAAACGGTTAAACGGATCTCCATAAAATTCGGCACAGATCGAGAGCAGTCTTTATTTTCTTAGTTCGTCTGTTTTCTTATACCACACGGACGAAGTCGCGGGCAACAGCAATCCTTAATTTTAACCACAATATGTCAAGTTCGTAATTATCTAGCTAATGTTAGAAAATTGTTAGGCAAAATATTCAACAATAAACTTAAACACTTTTCGCGTCGAGTGTACCTGCAGGGGCCGGCTATCAGTTCGGTCAGCATTCCTGACCGCTGAGTCACACCTACAGCGACATAATTGCACGTTATCACACGCCGCTTACAAATCATACTATTATTATAAATGCGAAAGTTTAGGTGGATGGAAGGATGTTTGTCAGAGCTTGTAGTAAACTACTGAACGGATTGCGACGAAATTTGGCATAGATGTAGAGAATAGTCTGGAAGAACACATAGGCTACTTTTGTTTTTGTTTCATAATTCCACGCGGATGTAGTCGCGGGCGTAAGCTAGTGTTAAACATTGTCAAGTGTTAGAAAATTGTAATCAAGATATTGTTAATATTTTCATAACTATCAATGTATTTTTATTTACGATTTTAAGAGTAATGTCATACGAAAAAAGAAATCTAACATTTGTTAATCTGTAAAATACTTTTTTTGTTCATTCATGATTAAACCATTAATAAGCTTTTTATAAATATTTGCGGTAATTAATAAATTTATTAACCTTTAGTGTATAAATAAAATAGCTAAGTTAGTATGTATGTCTGAATATGTTTTACACAAGATATAGTAATGTGATCATTTATAAGCCTAGCTGTCACCACTTTGGCCATAAAAAAACAACACCAGCCTATACTAGCAGAATGTACTATGAAATCTATACATTATAATATTACTAAAAAGTAAAATGAAACATTTCTAAGTATTCATTATAAGGAAAAGAAAGTAATAGAATTATTCATAAAAATAATAAACATATTTGACAAATTAGTTTCCGTGGCTCATTATCCGAGATGCCTGCAATTCGTCACAACCAAGTTATCATAGATTACACAATGATAAAATTAAGCTTGCAACTGATAACAGCATTGTTTGTATAACATTCTTTTGTGATAAGGAATAATTAACAATGTTTCTTACATTTAAAATATCTACTTGCACATTATAATTATAAATTATAATTATTTTGTTATAGCCTTCACAATATTTCATGTCACAAAGTTTGGATGAATGTTTGTTATTATATCTTTAAAATGGCTTTACGGATATCAATGTAATTTGACATAGATTCCAGATCTATTTATTACATAGTCTAAGAAAACATCAGGCTACTTACTAAGTTTTTTTTTATTTCATGTGAATGAAATCAATGAAAATCATAATTTTGTTTTATTCTATATGAATATAGTGATTACCGACTGAAATATTAAAAGCAAATTTCTATACCTGTGAACAAAGATGCCTTCAGTAAATCTTTTATTTCTAGGAACATCTATTTTTATAAACTACCAAATATAGACAATTTTTTACAATAACATTAATTGCCAAATGAGAATAAATATTACAGTAAAAATTAAAAAAAAAAATAACTAATAAATTATGGTTTCTGTAGATGCTAATTTAAGAAAACATTTAGATCCATTGTACTGGCATGACTATAATTTTTATACAAGCTACTGCAAATTTTTTAGTTGTACTATAGACAATACATTCATATATCAATCCTATTGTCTGTAAATTTACATACAATAGGATTCAAATAGTACCTTGGGAATGATTAAGTTTATTTAGTTTGCTAATTTATTAAACACTTGGATTATTTAATAAAGGTAATGAAATGTTGCTAATTTTTACACTGTATAATATATGAAGGAAAGCGAATACAAACCTCTTTATCATTATCGACGGCATCTTGGAGTCGAGCAATTCGCCGCTTCGGTATAACTAGGAAATGTACCGGTGCTTGGGGGCTGATATCGTTGAATGCAAGGCAAAGGTCATCCTCATAAATTATATCAGCTTTGATTTCTTTCGATATTATTTTGTCGAATATCGTTGGACCCGGCGCCGCTACACTTTGAGCTTGAGCGCGTCGAACTTCATCACTATACGGACGCCGGACAGCGATGGCCGCCCCGCGCGTTAGATCATATATGTTCGTTGGATATGTCTTCTTCAGGCGAAACTTTAACGCGCGTTGGAAAACTTTATCAAACATTTTAAGTAAATTAAACCGTTCTTTTTCGAGAGCTATTCACATCCTCCCGAGAGGGATTTTGATTTTTGACATTAACCATTTGACATTTCAAGAATGTGATGTGACATTGACATTTATGAAAATAAAAAGTAGGAAATATTCGTGGTTTAGCACACAGCTTTTTAGCCACAAATGTTTTTGAGAACCGATATTATATTTCGAATAATCGAATTTCTTATCTAGTTTTAGTAACTTTACTCAATTATAAGTTTAATTGTTAAACATTAATTTAATTACTAGGCACTATTTTGTTTTGTACTGTAGTTTTTGCAGGCGTTTCGTTAATTAATTAATATGAAAGGTAAAAAAATTAAACGTGTTAAAAGTTAATAATTTTTATTGGTACATTTACATAAAAATATCCAACTCAAAGTTGAAACAGTACTTGTTATATTTCCCAATAAATGTAATTAATTTTTTTTTGAAATCTTCGTAACACTTTTATGCTTAATTAACTAAAATACTGAAAATTATTTTAATTTGAGTGTACAATTATAACTTAATTACCATGATTTTTGATATAATCCTAAATTTAATATAAAAAATAATAACACGAAGCCAACACCAAGCTAACATCCCTCCTCCATAATTTACAATAATAGGATGCAGTGTTTGAATACATTAAGAAAATAAATACTCTATCTATCCTACGATACGTATGTGCTAAGTGTTAGCGTTACCACAAAATATTGTCAATATAGCTTAAAATCACATAAAAAACCCAATGGCAGAAAAAAGGTAGACTGAAGTAGAATAGAAGAATAACAAAAAGCTCTAAATGAAGAAGCTTAAGTTTATAACAAACTTATATAAATAGTGTTCTTAATCCTAACATACCAATATTATCACTTCTCTTAAACAGTATATATTTACACCACAGATAATACAATATATACTACTTAAACACTAATAGACCTTTCGTAATAAATTGAGCTTTTTTAGAGAGGCTGTGTATAATTCACGTTTTTACCTGCTATGAAAAATAGAAACAGTACAAACAGACATACAAATATGAATAATAAGGATCTATACTTAATAACTATCACAATAATATTTAAATTAAAAAGTCATTTTGTCCATAGTTGCGAAAACTGTTCAAAAGTCAACATTCATTATTTTTGACTTCGTAAAATGCTGCCTAAACAAGTAACTGAGAGAAATAAATAAGAAAAAAAAAACGCTTCCCGCGATATGTTTTTAAACTAAAATCGTATAAAAGTTTTTTGAAGGTTATAAATCTATTTTTACGTATAATTAAGCTATACTTGTGCTGTAACTCGTGAATATGTTGTACTGACGATGTACATAAGTAGCCTCAGAATGCCGTAAACCAGATCCCGCATGTATCGGTTCTGCAGCAGCAGTCTGAACACCAGCAGTATCGTGAACATTATTGCACCTTTGTGGAGGTAATACATTCTGAAAAACGAGAATACGAGTTAGAACTAATATATCCTATTAATATTATAAATGCGAAATGGATGGTTGTTTATTAGAGTTTGTAGCCTAGACAACTGAACGGGATAAAATTTGGAATAGATGTAGAACGTTGTCTGGAAGAACACATACTTTGTTATTTTTTTTTAAATTCCACGCGGACGGAGACGCGGGCGAAAGCTAGTAATATTATAAATGCGAAAGTTTAGATGAATGGATGGATTTTTGTTAGAGTTTGTGGCCTTAATTGTTGAATGGATTTCGTTGAAATTTGGTATAAATGTAGAGGATAGTCTGGAAGAACACATAGGGTATTTGCTTTTGTTTTTTTTAATGCTACGCGGACAGAGTCGCGGGCGAAAGCTAGTAACTTAATAATGTAAAAGGACCATAAAGCAAAGTAATTAGTACTTTTTAACAAAAAATATGTTAGTGACAGTGAAAATATCAGAAACTTACTTCTGCATATGCCGCTTTGCCTTCTCTATATCTTGGTCCTTTTCTTTCAGAAGGTATCGCCTCGTGCCTTTAACGAAGTTTCTGTAGAGATCTTCCCAACTGTAAGTAAATAAAATAAATAACTAAAATATATGGGCAGTAAAAATAGAAAACATTTAGTTTGCCAGACCAAGAGAACGAAACAGAATGTCTTTTCTCTCTCTTTGTTACTCCTTATGTTGTATCTTTCTTCTCTGTCATGTAACGAAAATAGTGAAGGAATAGTTTAAATTAAGCTTGTAAAATATAGTCACTGGTCAAAAATTACAATTTGATATTAAATTCGTTTAGTATACTAACTTGATAGTATTAGGATCCAAGTTGTAAATAGCTCGATCCTCTACTGACAAACGAGAGCGAAGTTTCTGTACATTGTGCGTTTCGAAATCCCATTCGTTGAGGGCGAAGAAGCCGAGGACACCATTCATTGCGCTCATCTTCTGAGATGCTGTGATGAGGTTCATTCTGAAAGTAGAAATGTAAATCGTAATCTAACATAATAAAGAGGAAAAAATTGGATTTTTGCATGTATTGAAATAACTTCAAAACTACTGGGCCGATTTCAAAAATTCTTTCACCGTTAAAAAGCTACGTTATCTGTGAATAACATAGGCTGTATTTTTATATTTTAAAATCACACGCGGACGAAGTTACGAGTAATAGCTAATCTTAATATATCTAATTGTTTTTTAAGAGTGAATAAAATCAGTTTGATTTATTACTTAAAGTAATGGGTTAAAACTTACTGTGGCTTCATTCCGACACTACGCAGTATGTACTCGGCGGCATGCAGCGGCAATGTCTGTAGGGAAAATTCCAATATCTTCTGCGCGTATCTGAAATTGTTTTTTTTATTAATACCATGTACCATATAGAAATTTACTGTAATTTACCATTTGAAGTGATAAAATAAGTACCTATTCTCTACTCCAGTGCCGGATGGATACCAAACAACACTATTCAATGGGTATTCGCGAATGTAATTCCGAATAGAGACTTCAAAATGTCCCCACGTTGTTGGGTTCTCTTGTGTGCTGCAGTTGTACACTCGGACGTCTTTTGATCTGTGGAATAAATGCGTACTTGTTTAGAAATACACTGCAAAATGGTGGAATCTGTATTTTCATATGAATTGAAATAAGTCTGAAACTACTAGGCCGATTTCATAAGTTCATTCACCATTCCACGTTATCATTGCGAAACATAGATTATATTTATTACAATTTCTATTTACCCGCGGACGAAAATGAAGTAGAAAATTAAAAAGAAGACTAAAAGGCATGAAGAAGCAATAGAGAAAGACAAAAGACGAGCGACAAGTCATTTAATAAATATCTTTTTTTGGTCTTGTTGTCGTTTAAAGTGGCATATATTGGAGATATTTTTTTCTGATCGGCCAGTATTCCAGTCAACGTTATTTTTTCTTCTAAAACTATAACGTACTTGTCTATGGCTGTCTCCCAGGTGGCGGCGATGAGCGTGTCTATGGCGATGTCTACGGGCAACATGTCAGCGCGAGCGGATTCCTTCACTGTGAACACGTGCAGAAGTCCTTTCCCCGCAGCGGCTATGATGCCGCTAGGGCCGTTCAGGTTCTCTATCCATCCGGGGAAGGGGTGTTGGAGTGAGGATACCACTGGAAAAACGTAACAAAAAATTACACAACGAACTTTTGAATAGCAATAGACAAATAAATTATATTTTTAATTATTGGAATGTGATTGTTACCTATAGAAGGGCGGAATATCGCTGTGGGATACCGCTGTGTGCCGTGCAGCCTGACTGCTTCCTCCGCCATCGCTTTGGTGAAGGTATACGTGTTGGTCTTAGGAGATATGTACCTAAAATAAAAAAAAAAATTATTAAGGTGGTTTACATTCTTGCTTTTTTTTAAGATGTAGATTATTTTATTACAGTAAAAAAATGATATGAGATGTACTGCTTGAGTTGGCACATGGGGTAGTATAGAATACTTGTTAGGTACGTGCCAAATCTACTTCCGAGTTAACTATGTTCTGAATCTAAGGGGCAACAAACTTACTTTGATGTAATAGTGGACAGTATAGGCTGAGGTACAACGTCCAGCAATGACAGCAGATGGTGCAGCTGCGCGGGCGGATCGTAAACCTTCTCTTCAACGCGCGACTTCTCCGAGTTGCTGTAAGCGGTCGACACGTGCATGAACGCCTGGAATTAATTAAAAAGTTCAATCTATATGACAGCAGTTTAACTGCACAAGCTCGGTCCCACCACTAATAGTTAGTAAGAGCAAAAAATGCTATAAAATTGTATTAAAACATAATTTTTAAAATCAATTAAATTCTTATTTTATTTATTGAAATTAAACACGGTAGGCGGGATATTTTATTCGACATAAAAAACAAGCTAAGAAGAAAAGAATCAACTTTAATGAACTACGTTTAAAAAAATATAAAAAAAAACTTCGTATACTTAATATAGTTAACAGCATTCAAGATTTTATCTTTACAATGAAGCAGTTTTTTTTAGGTAAGCGATTAAAGTAAACACCATATAAAGAGCTACTTTAGAGCGGCAAAAATTAATTCAATATTTGACTTATCATCACATAACACGCGATATGAACTTTTTTATGGTCAAGTACATTTTTTTACTGAGTTTGTTGTTTTATGATATTGCTTTAAAGTGTAAAGCATATTTGCGTTTTAATTTCATGTAATTTCGATGTTCATGACATTGTTATGCGATCATATGCGATGAATTGCACATTTTTAGTGCAAAAAGAGTACACAGCCATTTAATTTTGTCAAAATAGCGATCCCTGCCCATAGACATTTGCAACAGGTGTTGCCATTTAATAAAACAAAAATTACCTCAATATTTGGCAGCTGGTCACAGAGCTCCATCATGCGCATCGCTGACAGAACATTTTGCCGCACAGCCATCGGCAGGGGCTCGTCGAATCTGAGAGTTGCAGCAGAATGGTACACTATCGACACCTGGTAATAAAAAAATAAAATGTAGCTAACTTTTATTCGTTTTAATTTCTTATTTTGTTATTATTTCACAGGAAAGCCACGTTTATTTAGTTTTTTTTTTGTTATTCTAAAAGTGAGTTAATAGTTGTTAAGTTAACAAAAATGAGTTTCGACGATAAAATCTAATTAAACATGTAAACAATTTTTCTTTATTGTAATAACAAAATATAGGCAATGCAAACTCTTAAATAAATAATAATAATACCTCTTTTAGAATATGAAGAGCAGATTGTGGCAACCCGAGTCCGGGTTCCGAAACGTCCCCCGGCAGCACTCGCAGCTTATCCAGTTGTGCAGGATTAGTTTGACGTATCACGTCAAATACCTAAGCAATAAAACATAAGATTATATAAAGAATAATTACTATTGAATTCAAAAATGAATCGTAATCGAATATTCTTTTAGAAATAGCATAGATGTTAATGTGATCGCTGAAGCATAGAAATAGCAATATAATAACAAGTAATTACGGTTTGAATAATTAATTAGGTACTTAAAAAGTCATTCAACATAACCTATAATTTAATAATTCCACTAACCTGAGACTGTTTCAGCTGTTGCAAACGCTTTTCCGGTGCTATCTCCTTCTTGGGTCTGAGCAAAAGATATAAGCAGCCTATATCAGGACAAGTCGCTAATAGCCTTTCTATCAGAACCTAAAACAATTAATAAATATTTTATTATTCAAACACTATCAACATATGAGTTTTGACATTAGCAACTGAACAGTTCAACCGTCGTAGGCTTGTGTAAAGTTTTGCCTTATATTAGGGAATGGGACTAAAAGTAGGCCTCCAGCACCACACTCGTCAGAGGGAACGCAGAATTGCTTCCACTTCACGCCTGTTTTCTGTGTGGTTGTGGCATTACATCGGGCGAGCCGGCCCTACAGTGCGGAGATGTTAAAGCGGGCTCTACCACAGTTCGTCGTGTTCAGTTGAAACTGTCAGAACAGAGCTTCTATTACAGTTATGAGGATTATAGTTTGAGGTTATGATAAGTTAAAACAACTATAAAAGACTTTAAATTATGAAATGAAGTAAACAATAAGTTCTTGAATACACAACGTAACTTTACTAACATTTTGAAAGGCGGTAAACCGGAACTGTATATATTAACTGTAAATTAACTTATTGACCTTGTGTAATATTAGTTTTATTATAGTATATAATATAATAAATAGAGTTGGCTTATTATTTCCTTTTAAATAAATGTAAATGAAAAAAAAATCTTAATGTGGAAAGCGATTGCGTCATCGTGGAAATGTTTACAAATCGTATTTTTGTTAACAAAAGCCAGTAGGTATCTAATTCCAGAATGAAATGATCGTCACTTGATTCCGCACAATGCCCAATCTCTTAGTTTAAATCCACATTTTAATGCAATGTTCAAAAGATCTCATATGTTACGGACGGACCGGTTAAGCGAGCCTGAATAAACGATTTATTGTTATTTAGGTATTTGAATTCGAAATTATTAGCCATTTAGTGAGAACTAGCTGTTCCCGTGCGACTTCATTCGCATCAAATTCAATTACAAATGTCAAAATGACATGACATGATGACAAACCATGGCAACCTTGCTTCCTTGATGATGGCAGCAACTTATGGTCTCTTTCCCACATTAAGAGTTTTATCCAAATTATTTACCTCCTAAGATTAATGGCGTAAAAATAAAACCTAAAGCGTGACTTAAGTGTAGGGCTTTTTATTAAAAAAGAATTATTAAAAAATATGCTGTAATTGCTGACATCTTTGGCAACAAAGAAGTGTGTGTATACGCTTTACTATAATAGTAAAGAAGTATAGATAAACTTTTCGAAATTGAAAATAATTTACGCATTTGAAATATGTTATCAAAGTAAATAAAAATGAAACATTGATATAACTAAAACGTTGTATGGATTCTTATGTAAGCGATAAACAAGTGAACTCATTTGAAACAAATGAGGTCCTTGATACTAAAACCTTTTTATAACCAGTATGTTTTTTCGGTTTTTTGGTCCATCTATATTAAAAAAAAAACTATATTCAACCAGTATTTATGTATTAAACCAGTTGACTTAAAAGTTCGTTATGCCGTTGGTAAGTTTAGAAGTAAAAAATCACGTGTTCTCAACTAGTTATTTTGCCATAGTCACGTGCGACGAACGAATTCCGTTACGCACATCATCTTAACAGTTAATATTTTGCTACTTTTCTAAATATCAAATGTTAAAGTAGGTTTAATGTAACAGGTTTTCATAGAAATCGCATAGACAATATCTTATATCCATCCATCCTTACATACTTCGGCTTTCACATTTCTTTGTAGCCAATACAATCAGTTTACTTTTGTGCTCATCTCTTCGTTTATGTCCATACCATGGTTCCTTTTGATCTTAAAAGCTCTTTACAGATAATATCGTTTATACTATTGATTTTTTATTTAATTAGATACTCTATACAAAAAAAATACTTTATAAAACCTGTTCTAGTTAGCGACGCCCAAGAATTTCATTTTTTTTATTTAAAGTAATGACTAATGATGTGAAAAATGTAAATTTATCAGTAAGTTACCTTGCCCATAAATCCCGTAGCCCCCGTAATAAGAACATGACGTCCGGCAAAGAACCGCGGTATCACAGCGCCCACTGGTGACAGCGGCCGGGCAACCATTTTCAATACGTAATATCTGTAAAAGAACAACGCCATGTTAGTTAAAAAAATAAAAAACAAGACACTGCCGTATAATAAAACTACGAATTTCAATAATATTCTAACAGTGGAAACCGCCATCTTCGCACGAATGGACCGGCTCGCCCGGTGACAAAAAAAGCAGTTCCCACTTTAGGTCAACAAAGAATAGTTAATTTGACCATGTTTGTAGAACTTATGAAGGAAATTTGTTTCGTTACGAGAGTTTTACGCTACGAATTTATTTCAATTCGCTGCATTACGTATAAAAAAGACAGAAAAAAGCAAATATAAAATAAAAGGCAAAATCATCAGAGGGTGGTATCAGATAACGATAAGGCTCGTTTTATGAAGTCATTTTTACGAGTTTTACGAAACAAATTCATAACAAAAGGTACCATTGATAAAAAGTTTATTGTTCTTTTTAATTATTTAAATTACTTGCAAAATGTTGCAAAACAATAAAAAAATTAGTTACATTAAAATATTAAAATAACGGACAAAAATGCAAATAAAAAAATAAAAAAAATCCATATAAAAAAAAACTAAACAAAGTCTCAGTAAATTTGTTAAAATATTTTTGTGAGAAACTCGTAAATAAATATGCTACAGTTTGTTTTTTTTCCAATGGTACGTACCTTTACAATAGAAATAAGGCCAACAAACGTTCGTGAACCTTCTCAAACATATTTAGTTTTTACACAATTTTTTTTACACACCGAAAAAAATAATTACCACATGATACTTGTTACATTAATGTTTTAACTGTTTTAAAAAAATGATTACAAAACTCCCTAAAACATTGTTTACATAATGTAACTATTCAAACTATCTACACAATTTTAAAATGTATTTCTCTAACGCATTGAAGGTTAAAACATTGCATAGTACAAAAGGTGCCAAAATCTATTTATGATCGCAAAAACTGTGTGATCGCAGACCGGGTTCGTCTTAATAATAACACCATAATACGCATCTATAAAAACAATATTTACGTTTGTAATAATAAACATTTTAGAGAATATTGTAATTTTTACTAACTATTTAATTGCCTTTTTTAGTTTATTAGATTAAGTAACTGGCGCTCTATAAAAACATATAAAAAAATGAACTTTTTAATATTCTATAAAACAGTGGAAGGATCAATTTGAAAAACTTCTGTAGCCGATTGTGTATTTAGTTAGTCTGTTTTTTTTAGTTTCGTTTGGCATTTTTTAAATTGTTATTAACCAGTACTAAAATTTCATATTCAACCTCTTTTGTACGTCAGTATAGATAATTCGCTATTGCTCGATTGCACGACCATGCTAATATCGTCGCTTGTATGACAGATTGAACGTTAAAAAAAAACATACCATTATCATTTGTTTATATTTCGCGGATTCTGTTTTAATTCGCGTACAAATATCATTTTTCATATTTTTGCACTACACGCCTTCCTCTTCCTATTTTCGATTACAGACTAATTTCTTAGAAAAGCATTAAGTGCTTATGTTTTATAATTAAACTAGGTTTTGCTCGAGACTTCTCTATGCAATGTAAAGATAAAAAAGGCTATATGCTCGCTTATGTCAGCCTCCCTTTAGAGAAAGTCCGGTCGTTATCGGCCCAACCCTTTCGGACATTACCCAGACAAACGCGTCTTGTAGACAGACAAACAAAAAAATTAAATGCAATTTTCGTTATCAGAGACGCAAATACATCTTCCCGAAATCTGGAATTTTTCTTTTGATATTACAGACACTTCAATTGTATTACATATATAGAAGAGGATTTTTTTTGTCTTTGATATATCAAAATGCGTTCGAATTATTTTAGCTATCCCGCGGAAAAACATTGAGTAAAATTTGACTGTCAGTAAGAATAACTCCGAATAACCAAATTTAAATACATACTTTTATTAAAAAGTAAACATTATTCAAGGCGGTACGTCAGTGCGACGATCTCGTCGGTCACGTCCGATACGTGATTCATTTAACGATTATTACGAAAGAAAATTTACAAGGAAAACGAGTAAAGTATAAGATGTATTAGCATTGAACTCTAATTTATTGTTTGGGTTTGTAACTTCAATAGTGATGGATGCCAATCGTATTTAAAAAAACTGTTTTGTCTCTTAAAATTACTATTAACTAGCTTTCGCCCGCGACACCGTCCACGCGGAATTAAAAAAAAACAAAAGCAAGTAGCCTATGTGTTCTTCCAGACTATCCTCTACATCTATGCTATATATTCATCGAGATCCCTTCAGCCGTTTAGGCTACAATCTCTAACAAACATCCATCCATCTAAACTTTGGCATTTATAATATTAGTAAGACTAAGCAAATCCTGTCGATTATTAACAAAAAATAAAACAAAAAGTCACGGAGTCGTAACAAATAGTACATTAACTGTATAAACGTAGCACTCAGTGTGCACTTAGCGAAGACAAACAAGTCGAGTTGGCAATGGAGGGCCGCTAAGCGAACAGCAAACATTGCTCCGTCAATAACCGACGAAGACGCGGACGTTACAGTAATAAATGTAATGTAAAGATTATTACCTAACGTATTGTAATAAGATAGATAATAGCTTGGCAAATATATCGCGACAATTTGAAAAGTTCATACACCGTCTAAGATAGTTGTTATGAATGTTCTTAAAAATACATCGCAAAAAAGACAAACAAGAATATTGGAATATTCCGTCTTACACTCTTTAGGAGTTTAAACATTTAACGAAGTAATCATAGACAATAATAGATATAAGGCGTTTTTTAAAAATAAATCTCGCAACTTCATAAGCGACATTAGTACGTATTGTAACACTACAAAAAAAATCTACGTTAACAGTATTTCTTAGCGTACAAGCAATTAATTATTTACCTTCATTACTAGCTTGTTGGGAGCGTCGGTGGCTCAGTGGTTTAAGCACTTGACTTGTAATCTACAGGTCTTGGGTTCGCATCCCGCCGTGTACCAATGTGATTTTCGATTATTCGAATTTTCATATGTACATAATTTACCCGACGTTCTTACGGTGAAGGAAAACATCGTGATGCAACCTGCACATATCGGCGAAGAAATTCAAAGATATGTGTGAAGTCAACCAACCCGCAATGGGCCAGCGTGGTTGACTATGGCCTAGTCACCCCGTATTAGGGTAGGCTCCGAGCCCCTCGGTGGGGACGTATAGTGAGCTGGTGATGATGATTACTAGCTTTCGCTCGCGACTTCGCCCGAGTGATAAAAAAATATACAGCCTATGTTAATCACAGACAAATTACCGGTAGAAAAATAACGGTGAAAGAATTTTTAAAATCTGTAAAGTAGTTTTTGAGTTATTTCAATACATACAAAAATACAAATTTTACCCCTTTATAATAGTATAAACATAGATAACATATATACCTATACTTATTTAACAAAATGGGATCGTTGACCGAAAAGGCGTGTCCCACACTCATCTTGTACATATTACTCGTTAACTAATTACATAGAATAAATATGAATGCAACGTTACGTTAAAATCAACAAAACGTAAGCTTTTCAATTGCGTATTGCATTATCCTTAAAACAAACTAATTAGCTACACAAAAAAATAAATTAGGTTAACTGTCACTTTCTACTGTGGTGTTAAAATCACTGCATTGTTTCTCCACTAACAAAATGTCACACTACGTAACTAAAACATATGGGTTGTATCCTGTGTGGTCGTATAGCGGACTTGAAGTTTCGAGTTCCTGCTTTTTAAGCCATGAATTCCTTAATTATAGTATAATATTATCTTGTCCTCGTATTGTTGTAACAATCGAGGTCTATTGCCTTAGGAATGTTATTAAGGCTAAGGCATTATTAGCACGCACGTAACACTACGCCCTTTTTAGACTGTACATGATTGCTTAGTACAAATTGATTAACTGTTAGATCTAGACAGGCAGTTATTATAAAATAAATTATCTTTATTTTACATTTTGAATTAGTAGTTTATTCACTTTAATCATTATTCACTTGTAGTTTAAATAAAAACCTTGAAGGATAGATGATAAGCCGGGGCGGGGGCGGGAAATAAAGTTACATACATACAATACTTGTTTTTTTTTCCCCGAAAGCAGTTAAATTTTTTTAGTCCTTTATGAATATCTCTTAAAGTGTTGAGATTGAATGTGGATGGCTACAAAGGAAGAGGAAGACCGAAGAAAGTATGGATGGATTGTGTGAAGAAAGATATGCTTAAGAAAGGAGTGGATTCAGATATGACGGCTGATAGAGATGTATGGAGAGCAGCACATACTGTGCCGACCCTCCATAAGGGATAAGGGCAAGTGGATGAGTTCATGAATATCTCTTAAAAAAAATTAAACGATTTATAGTTACAGATATTTAGAGTGGACACCTTTATTTAAATTATCGCATTATGTGTTTTGCGATTGTCTATTGTTTCGCAGCCAATTCCACTGTTTAGTTGCACAACTAAAAATCGAGTAGTGTGTAATCAAAACGAGAATAAACAGTTGTGCGATAGTTTAGTTTCATGCGCAAGCTCTTAATCAGAAAATTAGAAGATAATCAACGTATCATAGTCACCAGTTATGATTCTTGTTTAAATCATTTACTTTTGCTGTATATTAATGTTGCAAATAATAAATTATTGGTTAGATTAACAATAACCTACAAATCAAGTAAGTTATCGTAATATCGTACGTGACTTTTAATGTAATATTGTGTTAGATATAACAATCCATTAACTAACAATATGATGACCATGCACATAACCTCAATAAACTTGATTAACTTAATGTACAATGCCATTCAAACATGGCGGTTCGCAATTTCCCGCTAAAAGATGCGCAGATCGCGTAATTTAAAGGGATGACACGCACGTTGGAATTTCGACCCCAAGTTTATGTTTTAAAAAATGCCAACACATATAGTTTTCGCTATATTTAGTTCCCCATAATATAGTGCAAAATATAATAACAGTTACACGCTGCGTAGTTTTTTTCGCTATACAGATAATCATAGATAACATTATGGGCATATCAATTAAAACTAAATTGGTAAATAACCTTAAAGATGCCAAAAACCATAGACAGAATTCACCAGCCTGAGAGAGCTTGCTTACATCTATAGATATATCAGTGATTGGATATTGTATCCTTCAGGAAATACATAGTTACGTTTTATACGATTTTGTTATTTTTTTAGTTTTTTTTAATCTAATCATAGATTCCATGGCGAATCGGAACATTAAGGGCTCACCTTGACTATTATATTAACTTATGTAATTACAACATAATCGATTTATATATTTTTTATGTTAACTTATAAAGTCGGAAGTTGTTTATATGCAAAATTATTTCAATCTAGTTGTTGCCCGCGACTCTGTCTGCGTAGAATTTATAAAAAAGTGTTGATTCCAAACTATACAGTCGTTTATGAGGAAAACTCTAATAAACATGCATCCATCTAAAGTTAATTATTTTGTGTCATGTTTTTTGTTATTTCAAATATGTTGTGTTGTAAAGGGATTAGATACTTTTTTAATTAAAATTGCGAAGTTCAATAATAAATTTTACATAAAAGTATGTCAATTAGTATAATTTTAGGTTAATGCGTTTTAATTGTATGATTTTTATATTTTGACCTCGGAAATTTAATGTGGGTGACGGGCGACCTTATAAAATTAACATAACTGTTAGCGAATTATTAAGAGGGCCTCATAGGAAATAAACTAGTTACTAGTAATGTAAATCTTAAGTACGTGTACTTGTAAAACTTCCTTGTTTAAAAAATGTATCAAAGTTACCATATGTAAATTGCAATTAAAAAGAAAAAAGTAAGCAGACGC